TTCTACATTTAGTTTTGATCAAATTTTGTTTTGAAAAACCATGTTCACACTTTATACTAGATACAGGTATTGTATATGCAATTGAAATTAATTTAATAATATTTGGGAAAAAATCAAAATATTCCTCATATAAATGAGGTAATAAAATTTTCATACTAATATTTGAAAAATTACTTTTGATAATATTTGTAAATGAATACCATTCATAAATACAAGATTCTTTATCTACTAATGGATCAAATTTTTATAAGAATTATCCTTTTGCTTGATATTTTTTTCCATGCCAAATTGATCTAACAATAAATTTAATTCATTGATTCCAAATTCTTGAAAGTTGTCTATATTAAGGGGCCATTCTTTTGGATTAAAAATTTTCATGCCAGTTATCAAAGGTTTATTTGGAAACCTCTCTTCTATGCAACTAATTAAACTTCTTGTGTATGTTTGAATATCTACTAATAATTCTTGATGAACATTGTAAGAATAATTTAATTGAAATTCCCCAAAATCAACTCCTAGTTTCACTAATAAATCTAAGATTGTTAAAAAATTTCCTGATGTGAAATCAAAATTTAATATTACCATTATATTATCAGGAAGATATTCAAATCTTAATTTATTAATAATTGTATTAATGATTATTTCTATATCTGAAAAATGTAATGAATTTTTTTGGAAAAATTTGCTGAGTTGAGATAAGTGTTCATGAACATCATACAAAAAATGAAAAAAATGTCAACATTCTGTATTCTAATAGTTGACTTAGAAGAGGCTTTGAAACTTCTGAAACATCATTTGATAATGTCAAAATTAAAGCTTCTAATGACTTGCAAATATTTCTAACAGCTTAACCACCTTATGTCAAAGATCTTTTTAATTTTGAGAATATCATTATCTAAAATTTCTTGAAATTCTTTTAATGAATTTAGTCTTTTAGTAGAATTTTTTAAAAAAAAGAGTATAAACCCTTTGCCAATGTTTCTGTTTTTTTAAAATAATCAATTTGTTTTGATGAACTCTTACATGCTAAAGCCAAATAATGTGCAACACAATGTGTTACTACCATATAAGGACAATAACTTGTGAGTTGTTTAGCTACTCCATTCCTCACCTCCAACATGACAGAAGCCCCATCAGATGCAAATGATGTAATCTTTTCTAATACATCTTTTATTTGATAAAACATAATTAATATTTGTTAATTATACCACTTTAAATTAAAGCATTTAAAACTTAAAGAAATTCCAACCTCTTTTTCTGAATAAATCAACTAAAATGTTTTGTAATTGATGTTGCATCAACATTCAAAAGTGAACATATTTTGAGAAATCTAGTTTTAATAATACCTTGATAAATATAACTGACATAAACAATCAAATTTTTTGTTGTTGAAATATCATTATTCTCATCAATAATTAC